ACACATGTTTGTGTAAGTTTCACCAGTACTACAATGTCACCGGAATTATGAACCTCTGTTTCAGTATAAAGTCAGCCAAAATACGAATTTGACTCGATAAAAGATATTGAAATTATATATTTTTTGTCTTGAGACTATTGTTTTCACTAGGCCGACTTTTACTAATACATAAAACCTAACCCACAAACACGTTCATAATTACAAAAATGAGTTCCAACGCTGCTGCTTCTTCTTCTACCTCCGCTGTTACTCCTTTCTCTCTCGCTCTTCCCTCTGTTAACAAATACGTTGGTCTTTACAAGACCAAATCGTTAGCAATCTCTTCTTTAAGAAACAAAATCGCCTCTTTAGGTGATAAACCCGTGGGCTATTATAACTCACTTTCTCTTAAAAATCTTCCTCCCGCTCTTGTTTCTACTGCTTACAATGAATTGTCGCAAGAAATTCATAAAGTCTTGGCTGAAAAGCACCGTGATTTCCTTTCGGAAAAACTCACAACGCTTCTTAAGGAACAAGGGCATATTCGTGAAAACTATGCCAAGCAATTAGATGAGAAGTTTAGTAAGATGCAAGCTGAACTTCAAATTAATGTAAGTAGTGGTTCGTTGAAGACCGAACTCGCTACAACGTACTCAAATTCTGCTAAAAGCAGAATAGGGAGTACCTTACAGCAATATGATGAAAAAATATTGCAACTTGACATCGAGCATTCTCTCGATATTGAGCCGGTAAGGAAAATAGATTCTATTTCATACAATGAACCTAATACTTCATTTATTGAAAACTACTTCACGAAAGAATCTAATGCTTCTAATACTTCTAATATTTTTGAAGCCGCGAAAACGAAAAACACCATCAAACGTCGACGAAGACGCCATGGTAATCGATCCGCCCAAAAAGAAAATCAAAAAAGGTCCGACGAAACAAAAGAAACCAAAAACGACAACCAAAAGGTATTCGTTAATAATCTTTCTAATGTTTCACTTCCACCTTTCGTTGAAAACACTCTTAGTCTAGGTGTTAATTTTCAACTTTCTCGTCCTCTTTCTTTACAGAACTTCGACCAAAACTGGTCAAAAGTCGCAACGCAATACCTCCAAAAAGCCAAGAAAAATCACTCCAAAAAAGAACTCCAAAAAATTGGCATTTATTTTTTAATTGCGTTAGATAGAAGTCATTTATATTTTAATAAATATAATAATATTAATAAAGATTTTCTTTTTGTATCTCGAAATATTGAACAAGTTTTCAATTTTCTTTTCTCAAATGATTTGGTTGTGGTTCCCGCAGATAAGAATCTTGGTTTAACAATTTTAAACAAAGATAAATACTATAATTTAATGCTTGATTTATTAAATGATAGTTCTAGCTGGGCTGAAAAACCATGCTATCAAAATGGCATTCATGCTCATTTTATTCGTATTTGCAACACTTTGCGACGTGATTTAACTCCTGAATTAAAGAATCTTATTCCTAGTTCAGATACTCCAATTCCGTCTATATATGGATTACCCAAAATTCATAAAAAAGAATTGAGTTTATGTCCTATAGTTCCAAATTATACTTGGATAACTTCTAAATTATCCAAATGGTTAGATTCACGATGGCAATGATATGTTGATCAAATTTCTCATATATTGCCTAATTCTACAAAATTAATACTCTATATTGAACAAATGACATTCAATCATGATATTCTTTTAGTTTCATTTGACGTTGAGAAACTTTACCTGTCAATTAAACATACTGAAGCTGCCGAAAAAATTAAATCATTTCTCTTAAAATATAAGGAATCTTTTAACGTTGACATTTCATCTCTTTATCTCGAACTTGAAATAATAAAATGGATTTGTAAACAATCATTTGTAAAATTTAACAATCGAATTTACCAACAAATAAAAGATATTGCAATGGGTACACCAGCTAGTGTTCCTATGAACTGAACTGAATCGAACTTTTGCCTGAGTTCGAGTTCAGTTCAAAATTCGAACTGAACTCGAACCAGACTTTGGCTTGAGTTCAAGAAAGGTTCGAAGTTTGAACCGAACTCAAACTGAATCATTATACGAGTTCGAGTCTGGTTCGAGTTCGATTAAAGATCAGCATATAGTATCATATACCGATTTGTAGCTCTAA